GTCTGGCTCTATGCTCTATTCTCAGCATTGTTTTTTAAAGCAATGCTGTGGAGCCTAGGTCAGAAAGCGATGTCAGCATTGCGCTCGGTGCCTTGAACTGTCAATGTATGTCAATGTGAGAAGTGCTTTCTGCAAAAAACATGCGGACTTTTCGATTGACAGGCGCAGACACGGTGGTTTTTCCTCAAAACGCTTGCCCAAAGCTATTTGCTATAGCCGCCCAGTGATAGGTGCTTTCTCAGATGGAGCTGGAGGATGCAGGCAGACTCTGGTCGTTCTTTGTGGGGGTTCCAGCCTGCCAGCTGCTTTTTTGGAGGTGAGCTTTGGTGGGTTGGGCCCTCAACGGCCCAGGTCTTGTTTAGTGGGCCCAATGTCGCCAGCACCCAGCGCCAAGGCTCGGGTCAACGAGCTCGCCAGTAGCACCAAGTAACTGCTGCAGGAAGGCCAGTATGATTCTTGGCGAAAGCATGCAAACGCCGCAAGGCGGCCAAAAGGAAGCTAGGAGCAAAGGGCATTGCTACTAGTAGCAAGGACGCTACTAGGGGCTCCTGGCCTTACTGCTAGGAGCAAGGACGCTACTAGGGGCTCCTGGCATCGCTACTAGGAGCAAGGACGCTACTAGGGGCTCCTGGCCTTACTACTAGGAGCAAGGACGCTACTAGGGGTTCCTGGCATCGCTACTAGGAGCTCCTGGCTTTACTACTAGGAGCAAGGACGCTCCTGGCATCGCTACTGGGAGCAAGGACGCTACTAGGAGCATGCAAACGCCGGAAGGTGGCCAGTGTTTGTGCTGTTCTTTATTTCTTTTCCCTGTTGATCGCTGCTCGCTCCCCCGTGTCATGGCGCTTTTTGGACCCAACCCCCAGTCCAAGAAGAGCCAAGATGGCCCCATGACGCACAACAATAAAGCACTGCTACTCAGAGAAAATCCATCTCAGCTCTCCGAATGACACTGCTGTGGGCGACGCGAATTTGTATAAAAAACAAGACGCGCACTCGCTCCGAAGTGGACATGCTGGGCTCATGACAGTTTCCACCAAGGATTGCTTGACCGATGTGGACACCTCAGGCACATGAGATGCTTTGGCTGTGATCCCGTGTCAGCGGCCGGAGGCTTGCCCATACCAGATCAGTGAGGGCTGGGAATGGGAGGCCCCAGCTCTCCAGCATACCCTGCTGTTCTTCAGCTCAATGTCACCCCATGACCAGGATCCTTTGAACGAGCAGCCGTGGGATTTATTTGCACAGGCGTTTTTGTTTCAGCTTCTGAAGTGCCCGCAGCCTGGCTTTGTTGTTCCAGGAGTTTGCTACGAAGGGCCTCTTTCTGCTTGACGACTTTTTTAGCGGTTCCGCTCTTGCAGAACTGTTTGTGGCCCAGTCATCGAAGCGATGGCCCCTTGCCACGGCACCCCCAAAAACCCAGTCGGCACCCAAGGTGGAGATATTCTACAGAGGCCTCAGAGCCCAGTTGCTTGCCAGAGGTAGCACAATCTGCCACTCCGTGAGCCTGAAGAGTCAAGAGGCGCCTTGCTTTCGTTCGCTGCGGCCGGGCTACTTGGGGGCCTTTCCATCCGATGGCTGCGCCGTGGCCCAAGAACGCTGCGCTTTGGACATCGGGGCTGATTTTGGGCGCCGGGAGGTCCATCCGATCATTCGCCGAGCAGCAGAGAGCTTGGAAGCGCATTTGCCCATGACCCAGTGCTTCTCACAGTCGTTCTGCTGGTTCTTTGCCCATGAGAAAGCTGAAAGCCAACTAGTAGCGTCCTTGCTCCTAGTAGCGATGCCCTTTGCTCCTGGGGTGAGCGAGCTGAAATGAACATGTGTATGACATATGGTCCGTGTAAGCGTGCGTTCTGGCACGCAGGTGGGCAGGCGTGGGAACATGCCGGCGCACATGCGGGCGTACGTAGGATTGCGCGTGCGGACGTACGTTGGTCTACCAAGCATCTATGAATGTGCATTTTGTTGGCCGGGGTAAACCGAGCATTCTTTTGCTCAAAACGTTCAAAAGGTCCTGTCAAGAGTGTCAGAATCACAGACGGCTCGCAAGCTGAGAGAGTTGCCATTCTTAGACAGGCAGTGTGGATACAACCTATGGCCAGACTGTGGCCATTAGAAGATGAACATGTTTGCATGTTCATTTTAAAGACCTTCTTTCAAGGCCTTAAACCAGTACATCCTTGCTGAATTACATGCATAGACAACATAAACCAGGATTTAGCGCTTATAAACATCAGAACATGTGTACATGGATGTGAACATGGGCACGGAATACATGCACGTACGTGTGCGCAGTCCACTGCGCAGTCCGTGGAGTTGAATCTTGCACAGACAACCGTGCGAACAATCGAGGGCAGCTTTCACGTTCTTCAGCACGTCCGTCTGTAATTACGCACGTCCGTGCCTTTGTCCGTTCATTGGCTAGTGCGCCTCCCGCGCATCCGTGTACATTTGCGTGCTTGGATAAAGGGGCATCTTATGTCATGATGTGGTGAGCACATCCAAAGTTGTTGTTTTGCATCACCTCGACGAATGGAGGCTCCAGACTTGCAACATGATTGCGCGATAAATGGGTTCTTTTCCGCGTGCCCAGGCCGAATATCTTTCGCAAACACCATCTCACAAGGTCCTTTTCCAAGTCCCTTATGCTTGTCATAGTATGTCATAGCTTTTCCAAGGGAACACTGTCACCACTGAACTCCGATCCAATGATCCAAGGTGGTGGATCTTCAAATATCTTCCCTGTGGGCATTGGCCTCTGAGTGCACTCATGGATTGAAGAATTTAGTGGAGCGAGATGGAGCGAGTCAGGTCTTCTGGAATTGGAATTCATGCGGATGCTCCTTGGAATCCACGCGATTCACGGGCGAAGGGTCGACGTTCGCCTTTTCGAGGAAGACGCACCACACCACGCCTTAAGGATGCAGCAGTGAACGTCAACATATGGCTGACTCCAGACAGTGCCTGCAAGAAAGGCTGGACACCGCAGTCATCATTTGCCGCAATGAGAGCGACACTGGACCTTGCAGAATGCAGAAATGTGGAATGCAGGTGGTGGGCTCGAGATCTTCAGGCTTTGGTGAACTCCCTCCCTCTCCCACCCCCCGTTTTGTCCTTTCGTATCCTTTTGTGCCTGGTTCTCTGTTGTTGCTTGGCTTTTGGGCATTGGGTTGCATCGTGCCTTTCTGTCTCCCACTCTATTGCTCTTGCCAGGTCTGTTCCCAGTCGTGGCTCCTGGACAGCTGACATCAATCGGGTACGCCTGACATCAACGTGTCCATCTTGTTTGAAGGTATCAGTTTCCCATAGTTGCCCTGTCAGGTTCCAGCCGGCAGCTGCGGACTGAGTCATATTCCGGGCATGTGCTGACCTACCATTGCCAGCACCTCAGGTGAGCATGAGGCCTGGCATAAGGCAGGAAACTTGGAAGCGATGCAGTTGAGTCTTCGGAGTAAGAGTACATATGGCTCTCATGAATCCTAGGCCCTCCTCAAGGGTGGAGTCGACAAGATTACCTACAAGCAGAACCGTGCATGCATCTTTGCCATTGCCTAATGTGGAACTGACGCTAGCCGCTAGAGAAAGAAAGAGAGACCGGGCAGGCAAGGAAAGATCAACCTCTACCCCCCCCGCGCTCTCGCTCTCGCTCTCAAGCGCTCTCTCTCTCTCTCTCTCTGTCTATCTGCATGGAGCATTTGACGAGCGCTTGATTGCAGCTGTTCTCAGGTCTCTGATCGTTTCCATGCGTCTGAGCCTTTTGTTTTTCCGGCCTGGAGCTCGAATGGGCGCTTGCTCGCCACTTCTCCTCGCTGCGCCGTGTTGCTCTCGGTCTTCTCATTGCTCTCCGTAATTCCGTAGAACCCAAGGACCCATCGATGCCTCGGGTGAATCTGACCTTGCTCTTTGGCGCCGCTCGGCCCGCAGCGAAGCGCAGCGAAGCGCTTGGAAGCGACGAAGTGTTAAAAAAGGTAAAGTGGTTCGCGGCGGCCTTTCCCAGCCGACAGGACCGACTTGGATGAAGAACTGACCGTCATCATCGACCTGGAACATGGAGGTTTGGCTGCCTAGCTCTGGGTGAAATTCTCCAGACCACTTGATTTGATGTTCTCACATGTTGCTACAACGTAAGGCCAGTCAGGCTAGAGTTTTGTGCTTTTCTAAATGTGTTTAGGCCTGGATTGATGTATCAACAGTAGTGGCCACGCCTTAGCTTTTCTCAGCTCTCCTAGCCACAAGGACCCATGCCGTCTCTACTGGCAGAGACGACCAGCTCGCATTTGCTTCGAAGAACTGACGCCTCCTCCTCTTCCGTGTTCGCCTCCACAGAGGTGTTTTTCAATGCTGAGATCCGAAGGAATCCGAAGGAACTTGAAGCTTCAGTGCAGAGCATCATTCACTCCTGTGCAGCAGCGGCCTATGGACATGGAGCCGCGGAAAAGTCAGAGCCGTGGGGCTGTGAGCTTCATGGAAGGATGTGCGCAGTGGTTCGCTTGATATGTAGATCACTGGGGTCAATGTGGGTTTGAACATGTCGAAACTCAAGAAATTAGGGGAGACCGTGAATTACGAGGTTGGTGAGGTTAGTGTAGGATTTATGACCTTTTTTTTTTTATGTTGACAAGCCTCTGACAAACGATAAATTATATATATATATGCATGATTTCTTTTCTCTCTATTCTTCATGGATTAGTGTCAGCTCCTAAATTTCTCGGACTGCAGCCATTGAAGGTGGCACAAGCTTGCTTACGGGACCGGCTCAATCCTCTGCAGCGCTGCTGTTGGCTGCACAGTTTTAGCACCATGGTCGATGGCTCAGTCTTTGGCTTCCAGAAGTTGAAGACTCCGCCAATAGCGATGACCTCCTACCTAGTAGCGATGGCCTCCATCCTAAAAGCGATGGCCTCTTACCTAATAGCAACGACTCTTAAGGACTCCTGGACCACTTTAGTGGTGTGGGATGATTGCCATCGCCCGAGGACATGGCGTCAATGATGGCAGCTATGGCCGCCATGAAGCCTGGAGCCATTGTGCCCGCGGGGAAGGGCAGCGCCAAGGATGGCTCGCTCAGACCTGTTTGCGCATTTGTGAAAACGTTCAGATTTTGGGCTGTGCATTTGTTGATGCATGTGCCATGACACTTTGTGCAGGGCTATGGTGGCATGGCGCCCTGGTCGCCTGAAAAGCTCCTTGGAGGATTATATTAATACGCGATTGTGTGCATCGTGCCAGCTTGGCTTGTGTGAAGTGTTTATATAGACTTGTTCATGTTTGGCCAGATGTCCAAGCAGTTGAGGGTAAGAGGTTGTAACGAAGGAAACGGGTTTGGGTTGCTAGAGTCTTCATTTTGATGCAGGCAAGCGCTTGTACAGCTCCTTGGCTTCACCATGGTGCTTCAGCAGAAAATGGCAGTTAGAGGGAGATGGTAAGACATGTTCGTGAAGGCAAGTGAAAGACTTCCAGAAAGCTGGCTTCACTGAGAAGAAGCAGTGGGAGGCCAATTGCCCTCTGAGCTGAATGGCACCACCAAACCTATCAGTAAGAGCACAAAGATGGCGTTGATTCTAGCAACGGCAAAAAGCATCTTGGTGCTTACAGTAGTATGCAGTGCATTGGTTTATTCTCTGGAAACCATTTGTCAGTTCATGTTGGCTTGGGAGGTGTTCTGTCAGATGAAGCAAGTTCAGAGGCTTGGAAGATGTACTCTCATGGCCAAATAGCCAGATGTTTAAGTCAGGTACGACCCTGGAGCCCATGATGAAGCCTTCTTGAACGAGTTCTTTGCCCTGCAGAAGCAACTGAAGCTGAAATTGATCGTGTGATTTTGTCCATGTTTCACAATGAAGCCGTCAATGGTTGATGAGAAACATGATGAGCTGCACCATCGGCTGCTTGTGGCACCATCGGCTGATGTTGATTTCAGGTCTGGGCAGATCCAGGCTGCACTCTCAGAGGGAAACCATCAGGGGCAGTCCTTTAGGAATTTTGGAACAACTGAGCACACCACCGTTTTTGGAACAACTGAGCGCCCGCACCAGGCTGACATCATGGACACTCCTGAGAAAGTTGAGTTAGTTGAGAAGGCACTTGCGCTAGGGTCTCCAGCGAGTGAGCAAGGGTTGTGGCTTTTGTCTTGAGGTGAAGGGGATTCAGAAAAGTAGCCCATATGCAAAGCAAATGTACAGCCCTCAGCTATGTGGCTCCTTGCGGAGTTGGCCAAGTTCCTTCTGAACATGTTTACATACCTTTGCCATGACGCTTGACAACCTGAATTCTCGATGTCTACTCAGATGTGATCAGATCTCAATAAAGACATGCGCTCGGCCGGTGGCAATGGCTCAAGGGTTACCTATTGCCACCCTCTCGACTGGCAGAGAATAGTCGCCATGACGGTGGCACCACCTGGCAGTGTGGGCATTCAGAGCTACTATGTTGCTTAGTTGAATGGATTTCATGAGACCGAGTCAGACCAGTTGAGGGAAACACGTGAGACTCCAACGGGGAAAACCTACTGAAAGTTGTTTTGCTCCAAGGACACGAAAATTCAGGAGCTCAGCTCGATCATCAAGGAACGACCCTTGTACTTGTGAGAAGTAACCTCTCCGGCATCCTCGCATCCTCGAAAGCAGTTCTCACTAATCCCTTTGGCCATCTTTGGCCTAGAGGCTGTACAATCAACTGAAGCTCTGTAGTGAGCGGTGCTGGGGACGCTGCATAGTCTGAAGACATGCCAGAGTTTCCCTCAGTCCTGCGGGCTTCTTAAGGAAAGAACAATTTGCGGCGCCTGGAAGCTCAAAGAAACGAGCTGAACAGCAAAGTGCGGCAGCTGAGTCGAAGTCTCAGTTTAGTTTCACCATGTTTCACCCAGTTGGTCAGGATTGTCAGGCTGACTCTCCAAGTGTTTCGCACAGGAGAGGAGCTCCAGCTGCTTCTAGAACCAGCCTCCAATTGTGGAGAGGTCATCAAAGCCATGGGCACCTTGGCTTCAAGTGATCGAGCAACAGGCACCGTCAGCTCCAGGGACTTGGCTTCAATTGTCTGAGGCACGAAGAAGGTTTTGGTCAAAGTGGGGCAGGCTGGTTGTTTTGATTTGGCTCTGGGGCATGCAAGACTCTTGAAGAATACTGTATTTGCTTTAGCCTTTTGACTGGTGTTGTGGTCCAAAAAGACCAGGAGGGAAAGTACGTAGTGGACATCGACAAAGACATCAAAATCGAGGACACTGCAAGTCCATGCTGTCTTTTCATAGTCACAGTTATAGTGCAAAACTCCAGAGGTATTTGCAGCTCTGACGTCCCAAGCCGCCTTCTTGCAGGACTGTAAGCCCAACACCCGCATCGCCCTGACTAGTGACAGCTATGTCTTGCACAAGATCCTGCCGAGCAAGGCTGGCCTGAATGGGATTGGGGTGATGCCCTTGAAGAGGTCCAACCTGAGACGGTTTGCAGGTGGACCCCTTGGTGCAGCTGATGAAGGTGGAGAAGACACCGGACAGCACCTATGAGATGATTGGTGGCGTAGATAAGCAGATCAAGGAGTGCCGCAAACCTTAGACCTTGCATTCCACCTGAAGACCGTTACACCACGAGAAACCCAGACCAATCCACCTGTGCGCCTTTTGTGCCAGGAAATCAAAGAGGTCATTGAGCTACCCATCAAACATCCTGAGATCTTTGAATCTCTTGGCATTTCACAGCCCAAGGCACATGTTTAGACTGTTTAGCTAAAGTTTGTTCAAGTACCTCATTTATATAGAGCATGCATTTATTGCCACTGCACACCTTTCAGGGAGTGCTTCTGTACGGGCCTCCTGGCACTGGCAAGACTTTGCTGGCACGCGCGGTGGCACACCACACCAATTGTTGCGTGCGCCTGAGAGCGGGCATAGCGTCATGTGTCCCACTGGGTTGATGGTCTGAAACACTTTGAGCAGTTGGCACTCCAAGATTGTATATCAGGTTTCATCCGCGTGTCTGGCGGAGAGCTCGTCCAGAAGTACATCGGTGAAGGTCAGGGTTGCCGATGTCCTTCCTCCAGTCGCTGAATCAAATCTTTGCACCACCATTATTGTGTTCAGAAGTTTCCTCCATCAAGACATGTTGATATCAATTATGGACCTTCCACTCTGGCAAAACACTTGACTTTTTGATATGCAGGTCGGTGGCAGATACAAACAACTCCCGAACATATTCCCGGTATTTCCCGGTTCTCCCGAAGCAGTTGACGTGAATGGTAGGCACATTGATAATTCAAAGCTTTTAACGTATTGTTCTGAAAACCGTCGCAGGAAGCCGCATGGTGCGAGAGCTGTTCGTCATGGCTCGCGAACACGCACCCACCATCATTTTCATGGATGAGGTGCTTGGGAGAGAAGCCAGTAACAAGAAGCTAGTAGTACTCTCAGATAGATTAGTCGCATCGGTTTGCACTAAATGTTGCCGTTACTTGCGTCGAAAGGTCTTCGGGAAGTCGCATCGGTTTCATGATTCCATGCTGTTTTGAGAACATGTGACATGCACATGATCTAGCTAACCTTTCTTTCAATGCTACTGGGGCCTCGCTTTAAGTCGTATCAACTGGAGGAAAGTCATATCAAAATGGTGTGCCCTTGGGGATTGGCTTTTCTATGGATGTTTGTTGTTGTTCTATTTGTTCTACGAACTGATGTTAATGTGCTGTGCCCATGCGTTGCTTGCTTGTGTGATAGATTCAACAACCTTGTTGCATCATTGCATCGTGTTTTTTCAACAGACAGCGTGAGCTATTAGGGTTCTTACTTCAAGGAGCTGCGTGTGTGCGTTTTCGAGCGTGGGTGCTGGTGCCGCTGAAGGGTGCTTGTTAGCTGCTGCTGCTGCTGCTGCTGCTGGTTAGCTGCTGCTGCTGCTGCTGCTGCTTGTTAGCTGCTGCTGCTGCTGCTTGTTAGCTGCTGCTGCTGCTGCTGCTGCTGCTGCTTGTTAGCTCCTGCTGGTGTGCTGCTGCTATTGCTATTGCTATTGCTATTGCTATTGCTGTTGCTGTTGCTGTTGCTGTTGCTGTTGCTGTTGCTGCTGCTGCTGCTGCTGGTGCTGGTGCTGGTTGCTGGTTGCTGGTTGCTGGTTGCTGTTGCTGTTGCTGTTGCTGTTGCTGTTGGTGTTGTTGTTGTTGTTGTGTTGGTGGTGGTGGTAGCTGCTTCTGCTGCTGCTGGTGTGCTGCTGGTGCAAATGCCTACTGCTGCTGCTTCCGCAAAGGAAATGGAACAATTTCGTATAAAACCAACACATTTTTCAAACACTAAAGCGCCTTGTAAACAGGAACCTGATGTGACCCTGATGTGACCCCGTCGCATCGGGCCCCCCCTTGCAGATTAACAGTTTTCCAGTCACCTGATGTGACTAATATTGTTGACAGTAACAAGTGCATCGCTACTAGTAACAAGTGCCTTACTAGTAGTAACAAGAAGCTATTAGAAACAATAAATAGAATTAAACTTAGTAGCATGACAAAGTCTTTCAAGTTTGGACTCCCTGCATCACCCAGCCTTGGGTAGGTCGACTCCATTGGCTCCTCTCGTGTGGAGGGCGAGTCTGGCGGTGATTCAGAAGTGCAGCGTACCATGCTGGAACTTTTGAATCAGTTGGACGGTTTCGAGGCTCTGTAGTTCAGGGCATTTCAATCTTTTTCTATTTCAATCCATGGAGCAGGCCACCACAAACATCAAAGTCATCATGGCATCTTTGCTGCAAGCTGGTGCATTTGCTTCTCCGAGTAGTGGGTAGTGGGCCACAGGGAAGGTATTAGACAACTAACTCGCTTTGCTGGAGCTTCTTAGTTGACATGTGTGTGGCGTATGATCCTGCAGCAGACGCATGCTCGGCCAAACACCAAGAGAAACAGGGAGTATGACCCAGTCCATTTGCTTCATTTGTTCGGTGGCTTTTGATCAGTCTCGTCTTCACCGAAGACCCAACCGAGGCCACCAACCGGATCGACATCCTGGACGATGCCTTGCTACGACCTGGACGCATTGACCGCAAGGTGGAGTTCCCGAACCCCAACGAGGAAGCCCGTGGGGCTCCCCAGAGGGTTGCCCAAAAGGCGCCCAGAGTGTTTCAGGTTTGGGTGGGTTCCTTTCCAACGCAAGATGTCCACTGAGGTGGAGAGATTCTGAAGATTCATTCCAGGAAGATGAACCTCATGTGGCTTGGAGAGACAGCTGAACAGTACAAGATGAGCAGATATCAGCAGAAAAAAGATCAACATGTTCTTTACCTGTTCCACTTGTCACACGACTTGACGAGAGATGGCAGAGACGCAGAGATCATCTCTCGAAGCGGAATCGAGGCGTGGGATCGACCTCAAAAAGATTGCTTCGCAGATGAATGGCGCCAGCGGTGCGGAGAGCAAGGCGGTCTGCACTGAGGCTGGAGTGACTGATGGCTGGAAGGAACCTCGTCGAAAGGATCTCCTCCCGTGGCCCAGCCAGCTGCTGGAGCTTTGCTCGTGTGATCACTGGCTTGTCACCCTTCTGCAGGCTGGAATGTTTGCGCTGCGTGAGCGAAGGCAGCATGTCACCCAGGAAGACTTCGAAATGGCTGTTTCGAAGGTTATGAAGAATCCTGGCACGCAGTGTTGGCTTTGGTCTCACTTACAGTTATAGGCCAGGTCAGGATGGAGCCTCAACCACCGCATATTCACAGGCGCTAAGGTACTGTTTCTCAAGCGTTTAGAGAGAGAGAGAGAGGGAGGGTCATTCATAGGTTGTATATAGTTGTATATAATCATTTCGTCATTGCAAAAATGAAAAACGTATTGAACATGCCTCCCTGGAGCACCAAAGACTTCTAGTGGTCACTTGTCCTCGTTGGGGTGAAGGTTTTCACCGTAGATGCCGACTCCTTTGTGGTTTTGGGATGCTTTGGGATGCTTTGGGATGCTTTGGGATGCTTTGGGATGCTTTGGGTTTCCTTCCTTTTTGCCTTCAATTTCCAAGGAAAGATTCGGACAAGAACATGAGTTTGATGCAGCTCATGAGGCACGGGTCATGTGCAAAAGAGGCTTTGTGATTGAAGTTTGGGCTTCTTTGAAGACTGTTTTCTGCTCATCTGCTCACTTGCGATGTTTTCTGCTCTGTTTTGTTGTGACTGAGAGTCTGAGAGCAGGATTGCTGAGTAGGACCACCCTCCGATTTGCATGGATGTTCACAGGTGATCCCATGGTCGAGTGACTTTACGCTGGTGGCATTCAATTCGATGGCCCCTTCTGGGCATACCTTGCTTGTGTATATCCAGTTGATGATGGCAGGAGCAGTGTCCAAAAACGATTATATATAACATTGGATGCATATGTGTGAGTGTGTGATCATATGCCAACACATAAAGTACACAAATTAAGCACCAGCATGGCTGTACACCAATGTTGTGTTTCTTTGCTCGATGCCGCGTTGCCTGGCAGAACAGCTTTGGATCTCTAGTAGCCAGGCATTGTGCTCACACATCTTCATGACCCTGCCATTCCGAAAAATGGGCGCGTTTGCAGCTGTTTTGGAACCATGTGCAGCTCGATCAATGATGTTTGCATAGGAAGCTTGCAGGATGGTACCACCTTTGCAAGAAAACTAGGATGGGTTTCTACTCTTGGATTTGGGCCACGAGCAAGGACGCTACTAGGGGCTCCTGGCATCGCTACTAGGAGCAAGGACGCTACTAGGGGCTTTCAAGTGTCGAAGTGCGACGCTGAGGTGGTATGACTACTGCAGCCAGCATGGCGAGCCACCTAAACACGCAACATTTGCGTCATGGAAAGCATTTTCTGTTGCTTGAGGCAACACAAATTACGATCCTGCCCGCTGGGATCTGAAGTTGGCCACATTGTTTCATGCGCGTTGGAGGGATGTATGCTTTGAAGGGTTTTAGAAAGCACGAAGTTCCCAGCGGACTTTGCCGAAGTTTCATCGTGCATTCGTTGGCTTGTTCTTGCTCATTCTTTCTTCTTCTTCTTCCTCTGAGGCCATGATGTGACTTATCTCCAGGGATTTATCACAAAAATGGAGAGCGGCGGGCACAGCCGCTGCCTCGTTTTGACCACATGGACCTGGTTGTCCTGACCTCGTTCTGATTGGACCTATTTTGGAGAGTTAGGTGTGCCTGCCGCTGAAAGCAACAAAATCTTTGCAAGAGCCCAAGCGATGCTGGTAGAAACGCTTCTTGGCTGCTTGCGATGTCTACCAGCCGGCATGCCAAGGTGGGATCTCTTGACACATCTTGCACTGAAGATGATGTCCGGTTCCTGGATCCAGCACTTTGAAGGTGATCACTTCGACACTCAAAAGTCACAATCACATCTTCAGGTCAAGGAGTTCTTCAGCAATTTTGGAACTGTGACGTTGGCGCGGATCCCCAAAGCGAGGATGTTTCGGCGCCTTTGCTCGCTGTCTTTCTTTGGCGCTGTTCAGTCCAGCGGGTTGGGCTGCTCTGGCGGAGCCTGGCACAGGTGGAGCTGAAAATGGAGCCCACCACCGGCCGGTCCAGAGGTTTCGCCTTCATCACCTTCAGCGATGAGGTGACGCAATCCGGTCCTTTTGAGTGTCGAACCCAGTGGACTGGATGAGAGATATGAGAGTTGATTGGACTTGCAGGCCCCCGTGAAGTTTGTCCTGGCCTCAGGATAGGACTCTGGAGCATCAGGGGCGACAATCAAGGATGACCTACCAGGAGAAAGCAATCCAATCTCCTCCAGCTTAATACACAATTGTCGTCGTTGTGGCTTTGTCTTTGCGGACTGCTCGGGCTCTGCCAGGAAGGTGCCACAGACTTTTTTGAACATGAGGTTCTTGTTCCTAGTAGCGTCCTTGCTCCTAGTAGCGATGCCAGGAGCCCCTAGTAGCGTCCTTGCTCCTAGTAGTAAGGCCAAGAGCCCCCTAGTAGCGTCCAGGCTACTAGGATTTCAAGTCCTCGGATTAGCATTGCAAGACTAAGATGTCCTCATCACACCCCAGAGATCTTTCGGACACCGAGCGCAGTGAGCGCAGCCATGGCGTCCTTGGCGAGCCGAGGATATTTTGCCCCCAGGCTTGAAGAGCGTTTAGAATCCTTGGAGAAAGGCCACAGGCCAATTTACCTACAGAATGCAATCCTACAGAATGCAATCCAAAGGGCTGTCAGCCTGCAGGTCTCGTCGTTTTCATGCCGTGGCCAGAATTTTCACCTCCCTTCAATAGCTCAGGCCAAAAGTGGGGATGCGCGCAAGGTCGGTCAGGGCCCATCCCAGCCGCAGCGGCTGTTTGGAGACCGAGGAAATCGGAGGGGTGCAGGAGCCCCCCGGGGAATTTGCGTGTTGCCTTTCAGGTGTCTAGCTGCATCTATAGCCGTGTGATTCACAACAGATCCCAAAAACCCCCTTGTAAAGTAAACATCGACCAAAACCTGTAGGTCCCAGTGCCTTCTGGAGACATGTCAACACAGACGAGTGACACCACGTCTCCATGCAACGACTTCGCTGGAGGAGCGGGGGCTTCAGAGTTGGTCCCTCTAGACGTCGCATTGAGCTTTCTACGGGCACTTGAGAGAGGGTATGTGAAGGCTGCCGCTTGGTGCACGACGCTACAAACAGCATGGCTTAGCGTGGCTTGCGATGTGACTGACTTTTGCCATCAGATTCCCAGTAGAATTTCTTAGTAGAACAAGAATTGAGTGAACAAACAATCACCAGAACCAGCTGCGCTGGCTCTGCGCCAGGGCATGTCAAACACCGAGGATGAATCCGCGATCTCGGATTTCTTCCAAAGCCTTTGTCCACTGGAACACTTGCAGAGTCTCTTCGAGATCCATCAGCTCTTTGTGCAGTCGGAGGATCCGGCTAGGCAGGGGACATGTTTCAGCACAGGTCTTGAGGCAGAACTTTGGTTCCGAAGAATTTGAGGTTGATACGGCGAATCCTTCGCGTGTGGGAGATGGAGAGCGGCCCAGTTGCATTTATCATTTACAGAGTAATATCCTTCTGTCGACATAGAGCCAAATCTAGATCAGTTTTGTTTCTTGTCATTGTGCCCGCAAGGCGCAGATGATCCAAAGGCGAAGGCAGCAGAAGATGTAGGTCAACCATTGATGGGAATGGTGTTGTTCGTGCTAGAAAAGCATTGGATGGGGCATCTCGTATCCTAGCAGTGTACAGACAGCCAGACAGCCTGAGAACTTTTTGAGAGCTCCCCTCACGCCCTTTTCTCACCGCCTGGTCCGGACCTTTGCCCATGCTTAGTCACTCCCCCCGCGCTGTCTCTACCGCCTTGTCCGCGTGTGTTTTCGCGTGGCTATGAGTGCAACCGTGGTGCGGCGTTTCAAATTTGATATCATCCTCGGATTTTCTCATCTCATATATGCCCCAACGTCTTTGCACATGTGATCCAGGAATCAGGAACTATTGTTTTCAAAAATTCTTGGTTTGCATGCTGTTATCAGACAGCTGGAGGCTATAGGAATAAAATTGCAGACGCTACCACCAATGTTGGAATTAACATGCTGAAACTGTTTGGGGTCCATGCTGGCATACAGCAATTAATGACGTGTTGACTGCTATATTTTCGGGAACTCTTAGAGAGAAACATCAGCCAAATAGGGATTTCCAGTCGATTTAGAGGTTCCGGTAGAAAGGTGCAAGCAAACAGAGGTTTCAAACAGGCACATTGCATCTCCCCAGCGTTCTCATCTTCGTCATGGTGGTAGTGGTGATGGTGGTCGTCGTCATCGTCCTCCTCCTCCTCCTCCTCCTCCTCATCATCATCATCATAATCATCATCCGAATGCAATGCACTCCATCTTAAAAATTTGGCATATGCCCTTCCCGGATTCAACAGTCGAAGATGGTCCGTTCCGCCCACACACTCCGAAGAGCCTGAAGGCCTTGAATTAGGCCTTTTGTGGAAGTCCTTGTGAAAAGAATCTCCACCCACAAGGACTCATAGGAGAGTTTCATAAGACTCATATGATACCTTTTGGACGCCCTTGTGCAAGGAACCCCCATCTAGGAGTACGAGGACTTTTGAGAGATCCTTTGCCACAGTAGAGTCTAGTAGAGCATAGTAGAGCCTTATTTGGGTTTGACTGGTTGGTGTGCGGCGGCCGGAGACCGACGTCCCCCTTGCGGCCCCGTCCTCCGAATGACCTAGACCCGACCCTTTTTGCCACTGGTGGTTAGCAGGTCTGGCTTCTTGTCTCGCAGGTTTCCACGGTGCTGCCGCAACAGCATGCGGTGCTAGACGCCACCTTCCGTACCCGCCGTGATGGTGGGTGCGGCCCTCACCCACCAATGATAATCGCAGCAATGCCAGCTACACTCTTCGTACACGGCTGTTGAACCTTTTTCTCACAAGCCAGGTCATAGCACCGCAGATGTATATTTTGACATGATTATGAGTTTCCCACTTTCTGAGGTCTTCAGTCCCCTGCTGGACCTCCACACAGGAGCTATATAGCCACTGCAGACACATCGGTTGAGAAGCCTTGTGCATCATGAACTACAAGCCTTGTTGGCAAGATTGATCTGACTTAAGAACTTAAGATGACCAATTTAAAAGCAGCGTCACTGTCTCATTGTCACAGTGACTCGTCACTTGTGGTTTCTCATGTGCAGCAGTTCCATCTCAAACATCTTGGAAAGCAAAGCTGGCCGACTGGTCTGGCCTATTCTGCGCGACTCCCTCAGGCCTGGAAAGACAAACCAGTGGAAGGATGCAGCGAAATGCACGCCTCACAGTGCCTTGGGCCCTCGGTAAGCCAAATCTTTGCTGCACTTCTTGCCACGAGAAGAGGTCAGAGATTCCATGAGATTCTGAGCCGATGGGGCAATCTAATTGCCACAGTTTCCACCTTCTTCAAAGCCACTGAAATTGTTGATGTCGACCTTACCCTCCAGGCACTTGTGGTGGCGGATGTGGAACTGGACCAGATCCGTGACCTGCCATCCTATCGAGGGTTATTTGGCGCAGTGGACAGGCTGTTGACTCAGGAAGCCGAGCTGATTTCTGACAAGGAGTTGCCTCAGTGCGTGGAGGCCGTGGAAGCCATAGGTCATGAAAGAAGGCTGCAACTATTCCATAGACTGCGAGATCAGAAATGCTTTGAATGCCCTATTTGTCGATCCTGGGTTGGGAAGAGCCTTCAGCTTCAGTGCTCAATGCCGAGTCGGCCCAGTCTTTTTCATCTAGGCCACAGGTTTTGCTGCGACTGCCTGCGCACTTGGGCCCTCTTGCCTGAGCAACTCCAGAGTATGATCTTGCGGCGCTCCTTCACTTTGCCCTGCTTCTGCTGTGTCGGCAGCGGGAGGTGTCCTGGCACAATTTTGGCACAAGATCTGGCTGGATGTGGGAGGTGTGAGTGTACAGTCCGCCCCTGCTCTTGCTCTAGGCTTGCCAAGCTTGGCAGGGATCTTGAGTTCAGAGATCGCATTTTGCAAAGTTCCGGCCTATTCAGGCGCATATTGGGCAACGTCCTGGAGTGCCCTCAAGAGGGCTGTGTTGGGTTGGCTTATGCAGACACTGGTGTCGCAATGTGCTTCATGTGCGAGCACCAATGGGAGCCGGAGACATCCTTCCTCCGCCTTGTCGGCCGCTTTTGGAACCGTCGCAGTGAGGATTTGCCATTCGGCTGCAAGCGGTGTCCATCCTGTCAAGTGCTCATCGCAAAGGACGGGGGATGTGACCACATGACGTGCAGATGTGGCTATGAGTTCTATTGGTCTAACCTGAGCCGGTACCGCAACTGAAAGCCATAGTTGCGGAGGAATGCGCCCTGGGCTTGATGTCAACGAACAACGAAGTTCGTTGCACATCTATTTGCTCATCCAACCGTTTGGGTGCTTTGGCCGTATTTGCACTGTACAGTTCAAGAATGGCATCGACGATGCTAGCGTCATCACGCCTGACAATATCTTTTGCACGTGCACACCATCCAAGTCCTTCTTTTATACATACATATATACATATATACATATATATATATATAGTGTTACATAGTGGATTTGCTGCAACTCAGTAGCTTCAGCCGTTGACGTCCTCTGCAGGAGCCTATTTCTTGCAATGCAGGTTGGCACCGCTTGGGAACAACTGTATCAAGGTGATCACGAACGACGACATTCGTGATGACAAGAATTCCAACAACAGCAGCAAATGGGCATATATGAGGCCATTAGCAACAGTAGTAGTTAGAGGCAATCATAGGCAATCTAATACGTATGATTGAATGTTATATGAATAGTCGTAGAAGCTCTTGCCTTCAAGAATGTACGCCTTGAAACAAATCATGCTTGGACTCACAGCAACCCTCCCAAAGCATCAGCCCAGTTTGGTAACTGGAGCACGGGCAGTGCAGCTTCTGCTTTTCATGTGGATGCCCTTGGTGCCCACAGTTTTGACCAAAGTTTTGTTCAGCTGTAGCGTCGTTTGAAGCTGATCAGCTGTTGTTTGGAGCAGGCCCTCTGACCAGCATCACAGCCGGGCGTGCAGCGGCTTGACCCCAAGCCCGATTCTGGAACATGGAAGAGTCCGACCTCCAAAATGTCAAAGAACACTGCAACTGTGCAGGCTGTACCCTAGCACTTTGGTTGGGTGTTGTCTCAGAGGAAATCATTCGGATCACTACCCTGGGGACTGCAGTGAAGACAGTCTCGTCTTCGAAAGGAGGAGAGCAGCTGGAAAGCATCGATCTCGGTGTGGAGGACTGTTGGCTCTAAAGCTACGTTGTATGTCAGCGCGTGGAAACTGACGCACTGAATCAAACATATAACAACCTTGTTTGGCCCCAGATGATATTAATTTGCTGAAATTGGGCCCTTTCAAAACTGCTACTCGTGGCTTCCAACTCTTAGGTCCCAAATCAGACTCTTTTTGGGTGTATAAGGTGTATGTGTCCAAGAATTGAGCGTTTTGCTTTATAATCAAATCCATGCAACTCCAATCTGATTTGTTCATTTTTTGGATTCTGCAGAAGCATGTGCACCCTGCTACTAGTAGCTAGGTGGTTTGCTGGCAGGACGCATTCCTCAGCCAGCCCTAGTTCGAGCGGATCGACCGGTTCGCAGAGTCAACGTGGGAGAGGCTCCAGAGATCGGCTGACGCGTGTGCTCGTTTGACCAAGCCTCATTGATGTTTTCCGTTGGCAGACCTGGCAGGCTATGGCAGTTTGGGTGCACCTGGGCTTTGAAAAGAGCAGCAGGGCTTCCAATTGCGTGGGTGATCATTTGCCAAGGTATTGGACCCCTTCTTTGCATATGTGGAAGGACTGACAAGCAGGCTTGGCGGCACCCGTTTCAGTATGCAGCACACACAGTAAAGACAGGACACTTGGAGCAGATCAAAAGTGGCCCTCCGGTTTGGCCTATGCCTTCCAACTGGCAGTTCTCTCAGATTTCGCTTGCCCAGATCAGTCCTCTTTTGCTGACAAAGGGTATGGGTGAGTTGAATCATTAATCATTCCATTGATCGACTGAGACATGTGCAGAGAGAATTGTGAGATCAAGATTTGACAAACACTATTGGTACCACTATGTACCACTAATGTACCCCTAAAATCACTAGTGGTACTTGATCAAGATTGGGTGCTGTGGGTGGTGGTCACAATGGTACCACTTAGATGCGGTCACTTCAGGCAGGCCGGATGGTTTCGGGCTCCGAACCGCTACAAGCTCAGGGACGGTGAGTGGAAAACCAAATCCGTGGAACACCACGAGGTCATGACTGCTGGTGAAGCCACAGCACTTTGGCGTTTTGAGTTCATTTTGGCGCACATGCGGCGTCAGTTGAGTGGCCAGCGGCGACTCTGCGCTGATGGGCGCAGGGTCTCAGCCAGGCGCTAGGAAGTGAGCAGCGTCAAAAGCCACCACTGGCCAGCTCAGAATGACATGCCGCGCAGTGCTAAATTAAACAATTTGTCAATATGCTTTAGTCGCTGCTTGACTCGGTTTTAATCGCTGCACAATTTGCACACGGCAAGCTGCAGCCATGGACATCTTAAACAATTGCCGCAACACTGGCCAAAAGGGGGCTCAGGAATTTATAAGGAAAACACATATATCTGACCCTGGCACCGAAGACCTTTGCCGGAAGGAGCTTTAGCAAATTCAGACTCTGGACACAATGACTTGTTCATTACTTAGCTCTGTGGACTCTCCAGACTTCTTGTGCCAAGATTTTGGAGAACAAAGAGATGATGAAGATGAATGGGAAGCAGATTGACTGCAAGGCTGCCCGAGATAGGCGTGACCCTTGGTGTTTCACATGAAAGGATTGAAGCATTGAAGCACCCAACAAATGTGAAGCTTTTCGTTTTTTTCGAGGGCATCGTCTGGCAAGGGCACTGGGCTGAGTGTGAGCTGCTATTCTTCTGCACCGTTATGAAGCCAAACGCAGAAGGGGCTACGTCACGGGTGTGGAGAGACGCCACGTCAAAGCTAGTCCGCGACGTCACGTCCAGTGACCAACTTGTCAGCATCGTTCTGTCAAATGTGCTTGTGATGGAATACCGTATGTACGATCTGAGATATTTGTATTGTCGGAGAAGGTCATATTGGAAGCTCCATCCCTTAAGGGGATTTAATGCCTTTAGCCTGTAGCTTTAGCTCCACACCATATTGCATGATTTCAGAATCGCAACGAGGCGCATGGGGCGTCTTGGGCCCAGCAGAGAAGAGATAAGCCAGACAGATTTTTGTGCAACGTGAACATGCATAGAAGACATTAGAGACCCAAATTAGAGAAACGGCTTCCCATGCATGTTTACAGTCTTCAACGGGCACCGGCCAATTTGGATAGTCCAACCCAGAAAAACGGACCAGCTACGCCTTCATTTGGCAGGGCTACGACGACTTTAGCTGGATGATGCCAAAAGGCAAAGGCTTCGGCAAGGATTTCGGAAAGGCGCTGGGTTTTGCTCGACTAGCACTTCGTTCGGCCCGTTGATTCGGCGTGGCGTTCGGCAAAGTTCGGGGTGAAGCTGAGAGGCCGCGATGATGATGTCGATGATGTCCATGATGATGAAGGGCAAAGGAGACTCATAACGGTTTGCTGACTGAGGGTGGGGTCTTGGCATGTTTTCCTATCCATTTACTAAACAAGTTGGAATGTAGGAAAGGGTGGCCCACCTGCCAAAGCCTAAGTTTGTTTTTCTAACCAAGGCAATTGAGTTGCATGGCCAACTGAGGCCATGAAGGGAGGATCATCCCATGGGAAAGGCTTGCTTCTGATTGCTTTTGTACGTGGCAGTCCATGCAAGAACGTGCAAGTGCTTTTGTTAACCAGTGCTGGCCTTGTATACTTGCTGGAGGTTTGCTAGCTTGAACTTTGTTCTATCTTATATATGCCGTGTTAGGCTATCATTAATACCAGCATGAAGTGTCAAGACGATTGGCTTTGGTGCTTGGAAGGGCTGAGGTGCAAAAAATAACCCAGGACAAGCCTCCAAGGACGAGCGCGCTCGCAAAAGCAAAGACCGCTTCCAAATCCACAGAATCGCGAGCACAGCACTGACGCGACACGCCCCAACATCGTAGTGAACTTGACCTTGACTCCAAGGCCATTCAACAAATGCTCGGTGTATTCAAGACTCTTCTTTTTCCCAAACTTGGACACTGACCGATGAGTTGGTGAACAAGCCACTGAAAGCTGACAAACCCAAGGGGTCGTCCTCGGTCGAAGAAGATTCCGCATCAATTGGGATGCACTTCAGGTTTGGTTCTTTGATCCATGTTGATGTCCAGTTCAGGTCTCAAAAACCGGCCCCCTGGCCTCAAAGCAACGTGTACTTTTTTAAATACCTTCCAAACACGCATAGTGCACGCAAACATGCACGACTAATCAACTTGTGACTCTTTGTGTCTTTTTTCCAGTTGTTGGGCAAGCGTGGTAGATGTGAAGTATAATGTGCCGAAATAGCGAAGCAATTTTTTTTAACATGGCAAAGCTGCACAAAAAGAACTGCCACTCTTCACGCCGGCCAGGATCGGCAAGTCCGTCGGCGGAATCCGAGTGGCTCGACCGAAATGTCGCTGAGACCCTGTGCGAGTTCACGTCATTTGTTTGTGACTTTGGTGACGTCTCAGATGTCTCAGGGTGGTCTTTGTGGGCGGCCTGCCCAAGGATTGCACGGAGGACATTTGGGGAGCTCCGGGGAAGTGGAGAGGATGGCAGTGGAGCGCTTGACAGGACGCCATTGCCATGCATTTCTCACAGTTCGGAACCGCTCATTCCTGAGAGCAGAAGACAGGAAAGCGGCAGTTGTGGAAACCCCAGATGTCCAGTGCCTTGAATGTAGAGGTCCAGAAGGTTGACATGAAGTACGATCCAGCCACCAATGGGTTGTTGCCTTGGAGAGCAGCCAAGGGGAGGTGTTTTCATTGTTTGCATCATTCTAGTCTTCCGCCTCGCCCTTTTCTAGGTTCCGCGGCTTTTGCTTCGTTACTCTTGGATCAGTTGCGGAAGCCCAGGTGCACCGCAGCGATAGCGATAGCACATGCACTTCATACCTCTTTGGAACGTTCATGTTTGTGTTTTCTGGGTAGATGCTGACACTGCAGCTCAGCAAAAAGATGCCATTTGCACAGTCTACTTCCCTTGATGGGTGCTTTCAATGTTCTCTTTGTTGACTCACAGGCTGTTTTCGCCAACTACGACAACAACATGTTCAATGGCAGCTTGGTTTTGGAAGCTTTCAAGATAGGCCGTCCTGACGGGAAGCGCCAGTCAGGCAGATGGATAGACTGCAAGCCTGCAGCACTGGGAAAGATGGCGTCAAGTTCTCAGAGTTGTTGGCATGCACAGAATAGACAGGTCTGAATCGAACTTCAAGACATGTGAGCTCAGTATGTTGCACTGACTCAGCATCAGTATGTTCAGCTCACCTCTGCAATGGAATGATTTCCCTTGCTTCATCCGGAACGAACTCCCCAGGCAGATGTCCGGGCCCGGGTCCAAGGAGGTGATTGGTTTGGGTGCGGCTTTTTCGGATTCCGCGCACTCTTCAGGGATCCGGCGTCCGTGCAACCGATGATCCCAACCGAGAGGGTGTGGCTCCCTGGGGGATGGCAGTGGAAAGGAACATCGTTCAGAGCGATGGGCGAAGCACGCTTTCTTCCTGCAAGGCGGGTCCAACTCCCACGGGGACCACGTTCGCTTCCCAGATTGACGGGCAAAACAGTTGAAAGAAACTTGAGACGTATCGAGCTGGCAGTCGACCTGGCAATTCTGCCAATCCACCAACTCAGGCTTCGTGCTCGAGGTTTGCCCTTCTCCGCCACCAAAGAGCAGGCACGAAGAAACATCTACTAATCCCAATCATTTTTACAAAGGCTTGTTGAGGGGCCTTTCCTGCTGCAGGTGGAGGAGTTCTTTGCAGGCTATGGCATGCCAAGAGCCTAGGGCACAAACAAAAGTGTTGACACAATCATGATCCTTGGCTCCAAGGACTGGCAGATTTCACCACAAGGTTGACATGATGGGCCGCCCATCGGGTGAAGCATTTGTGGAGTTTGTTAGCAACGATGAGGCCCCCTCCCTCTCCAACAATGAGCTTCATTTGGCACTTGCGTCTCTTCACCTTGATCATGTTTCCACAGGCCGTTAGAGCATTTAACGACAGAAACTTCCAAATGATGGGCACTAGATATATCGAGTCGATGGCTCAGATCGCTAAATGAACAGCCAGAAGTTATGCTGTGCCGTTTCGACTCCGCATTTTTCTTCATTTTCGGTCTCTGGCTGACACAAGCACTCTCTGAGGCTCATGGGTGCTAGTGACAAGGACGTTCAAATGTGCCCCATGTTCTGGGGAGAGCTTTTTCAGATAAGCGCTTAAAATCAGTTGCAAGTCGGCCAGGTACCTTGATAACAACGGCAAAGGAGCTCAAAGTAGCTATGGTCCCATGAAAGGAGGCATGTGTGTGTGTGTGTGTCACACCCTGGTTCTAAGGGTTTTCCACCTTTTCACCTTTCCACTACCACCGAGATCGTTCTTTTTCCATTGATGTGAATTCATCACAGGCAGGGGGCGACAGGGTCACTGCATAGCTGTCGCCAACGAAGCTCTATGCAGATGACCAGGATGCAGGGACTGATCATCCCTGTGTACCTGCAACTGAAACCTTTGACCACGCTGTCTAATCTGCCTGGTTTGTTTTCATGGTGTTTCATGTCTTTCTTCCCCTAAACAGGTTTCTCACCGCAACTTTCAGCAACTTGTGCATTGCATTTTCGCCGCGCGAGTGAAACACTTGTTAAACAATACAAGTCACCGGGCCCTTTCGCCTTGCTGTTCCATCACCTTCCTTCCCATCGTGGCAATTGAGTCTAACTGAAAACCCAAGTTCGAAGTGTGTCACCCTTGGAGTCATAGGGATGCTTTTGCATTTGTTTTGTTTTACAGCAGGGGGACCATCCATGTACTGTGTGCGATGGTCCAACGAAGCGGCCACAGTACATGCGGACATCTGGCCTGATCAGCCAGACGTACCTGCCGAGAGAGAAACCTACGTAGAGCACAAGCTGTCTACTTCGTTGTTTCCTTCAGTAAAGGGCCACTGCAGCGTTGATTTTCCCTGAGTGCTTGGACCTTGGGAGCTCCACTGACCTCCTCGAACCGTCGTCACCCTGTCGTCCGCTCGCTCGTTGATTACCTTTGAGACCTCCGCTGGATGGACCTCCTCTTCTTCTTTAGATTTCCCTACCTGTACTCTTAGGAAATGGAACCCTAGGCCGGCGTGTGGCACCGCTATCAAGTCCGTATGCATATCCATGAGTGTGTCACACCCTGTTTCCAAGGGTTTTCAAATCTTTTTCCACTTTTCACGAAAGCAGGGGGGCAAGGCCTCCAGCGATGAACCTTGTCCAACGAAGCTAAGTCGCTGGAGGGGAAGCACTGAGAGACGTCTCGGTGTGTACCTGCTGAGTTGTCCACAAGCTGTGACTCTATTTTTTCCACGGTTTGATTTATGGTGGCTTCGCATGATACCCTCCCCACAAACAGGTTTCCCACCGCAGCTTTCAACCGCTTGTTGCTTTGCCGCCGCAGACTTCAGCCGCTGTGAAACAACTGTTCAACTTTCAATTACTTGGACTTACGCAACCTTTCTGTTCCCTCACCTTCCTTCCCATCGTGGCAACTGAGTCTAACTGAAAACCAATGTCAGAGTGTGGTGCTTTTGATTAACAGCTATATAGGTAACGTAGGTAACTAGTGGCTGATGACCGATCGAGAATGCTCCGTTTCCCATGCAGGCAAGGGCTTCAAGGGGCCATCACCATACGACATGATGCAACCTGGCAGCCTAGTGACGTCACACAGCGTTGACGTAACCGACTGTTAAGAAACCCGCCTGCATTTCTGACAAAAAATCATGTTTTTGAGCCAGCATTTCTGCCGGTTAATGTTTGTATGATTTTGTATGTGTAGACAGGGCAGTGTGGAATGCAAGCACCGAATGCCGAATGCAACGTTTATGCAACCCTTCTGTGACCTAGCACAGGGGTACACAGATCCTGTCCATGTTTTCATGAACCACTCAGGTCAGCTTTCTTCGGCTACTAATCCGTATGGTTTAGTTAGGCGGGACCTTGCACTTGGCTTATGCCTTCCAAAAAGCTGTGCCTTCGATCAGGTGAATCTGGAAGTATCACCAAAGAGGGAGAGTTTTGACATATGCCGGCGGACTCAAGCAAGCAGCCGTGGCAATCAAAGAGTTCCCAAACAATATCAAAGAATCAGCCTTTTTGCAAGCACATTTTTCATGCCCCATGTCATCGGATGTTCTTCAGACCGGGGGATGCTATTTTACAATATATATTTATATAGACATGTTTGCTTAAATCTAGTAGGGCATCACCAGATGCATGAGCTGTGCCGCGGCTGTACATTACAGCGTGGCTGTGTGTGTAGAAGGCTGAAATACCATACAGCCTCGCAGGTCGCAAGTTGAAGCCAACACACACAACACTAGACCCAACTTTAATGTTGAAGAGATAAAGACACGATGGCTGCGAAAGAAGGCCTTCGCAAGTTCGACACGCCTGCTGCCCGGTGCTGGAAGTTCGGGCGCGGCGTCTTGCAGCTAACGGTGCTTTGTGTCTGAGCAAAGAAACTAGTTAGCCGCAGCAGCACCTCCGAACACGAACACATTTTGTCAGCAACATCCGAGCGGGGCTTGCTGAAAACTGAATGCTTGATTTGCAGGAAAGAAGCGTCAGTATAGGGCCTGAAGTGGATTCTACAAAGGGGAGTTCTACGATCGATTAGGTTAGAGCAACAGGGGTTTAGAAGATAGGACTGCTGGCCAAGTGGCCACAAGGTCTCATGGACGCAAGAATTGCAGACAATGAGTAGAAGGGCCTCAAATGACACCTGAAAGATTTTACTCCAACTGACTGGGCCATGTCTTCCATATCCACACTGATGTTGGTGTGTCGAAGTGCTCGCTGATGCGCTGACGGTTTTGATTGGCTCGCTTGCGGAAGGTGTGGATGGGCCGAACCGGAAAGGAAAGAACTCTTGCTCTAGAGGTCTCAAGAGGTCTCAAGAAGCGATGCACTTGTTCCTAGTAGCTTGATAAGACCTGGACGACTTGGGGCCGAGACTGCAAGATCCCGACGCGCTTCAGCCAGGACATGCCTCCAGCCCGACTGCACGATGGGTCCCTCGAGTCACTAAGGCTGGCGGATATTGTGAAATGACGCAATATTTACAGTAGATTCATGGTGTCAAAGCAAGTTTTTAAAGGTGAGGTGGAGAATCGTGTTTATGTTTATTCATTATCCACGAACATGTGCCTGCATGCTCGCTCTTTTGGATCAAGCTCCTCGGGACTTGAACAATGCTGTGATGGCCCAGGGCATGCATGCTGAGTCGGATGGCTGCTTGGCTGCATCTTGACATGAGGAATGTTAGCGCTCATTGTCATGATTGCTGATGCCAGGCTTCAGTGACCTACAGCAGGCCGCATCCTTTCTGCCTCCAAGGAAGCCTCGCTGGCTACTGCACAGCATCTCGACATTTCTGATATATCCAGTCTGGACTTGTACTGGAGGATTGACAAACATATGGCAATATATAGCTTGTTGGAGCCAAGGTAGCCAAGAGAGGCGATCTTCGATTTCTGACTGTCCCCTAGAACCCATCCAGTGGCAGCGAATGCGAGTGAGGGAAGACCGACGCCAAGATGCAAGATCATGCGTGGTCGCAGTCTTGCTCGATCAAGTATCGCGACGGTGAGATTTTGGACCAAGGACGTATGGAGGTCACCATCAAACGGCTTCTAGCAAAGGGGCTGCTTGGACCTAAAGGTGCTTGAGTCACCAGACTGGCTGTTTGGGGCAACAGCGGGCAAAGAATGGTGTGCAAAATGTGGACCACATTCAATCTTGGGCCGTTTCTGTTGTTTGCAAGTGGTTCCTCATCTTGCGAAATGTCCAAGTATGACACAGAGGGTCAGAGTCGTGGTGGGGGTCTGCTTCCCATTTTGCTGTCATGTTGGGCAGTCAGGATCCTGGAATTGTAGGTCCGATGGATCAAATATGGATCAATATGGATCCTGAAGTCGTGAGTTACAGCTGGGCCATCGATATAGAGAGGTCGGTAGCAAAGGGGTATCATACGGTATACACTTGTGTTATGAGCTGCGGTGACAGGGCCCCTTGTTGTCAACCACTGAGGACCACTGATGCTCTGTGGGTTGATTCTTTGCGTTCTTCGATGAAGCGCAGGCACGGGTCCCGTGCCGTCCTAGGAGAACCGGAAGCAGGATTGAAACCTTGAAAATCCTTGAAACCTTGTCATGACACCGTTGAAGCGCTTCTTACATCAATGCTTGACCTCCAACATCATTTGTGATCATTTGAATTCACAAGGCATTTAGCTCTGACAGATGGATCCCCTAAGAAAACACAGTTTCGGCATTTTTGGTCTTTAACTTCCCCAGGCCGAGGAAAGTGCCAAAGTTGCATGGCCGATGGCTTGGGCATAAGACGCAGGACATGTCTCCGGGCCAGACGGTTTGTCTGAGACATTTGATGTCATTTGCGGGAGGACTTCGAGGCCGTGTGCCCAGCAAGGCTAGCAGTGAAGGAAGCTGAAGAAGTCCGGGAGGTCCAGAATTCTGAAGAAATCCGAGCAGGAGCGAACAGAATCGAAAGAATGTACTCAAATGCTGGCAAATCACACTGAGCCCCAGATCGAAGCTCCTCCAGGACTAGAGGTGCTTTCCCAACATCCTGATCATGCAGCGAGGGAAGCACGAGAACCTGCGGGAATGCATGATGTGCAAGCTGAACTTCATTTGGACATGGAAGAGGGTGGCCTTGGGATGCCAGGACTTGTGCTGTGGGCGGGCACAATTTCAATATGAGCATCCATTTCCGATTGGTCTAGTACACCTACGCAGCTACACAACGTTTTCATTGACCGAAGACTGTGTTGGATTGTCGCCATGAACTAGACATGTGTGCGCTCTTGGCTCTGTTGGGACCCCTGTCCAATTTGGACGTCCTCATTTCAGGTCAGGAGGCAAGTGCAACTAACAAAAAGAGAATGTGCCCGCTTGATGGCAACAGTGGCCAGTGGTTTACGTGGTGGCCAGTGGACGGGAACAAATCACATTCTTACCGTACCTTTCAATTTCTTGATGTTTGGACATGTTCTTCTCCTTTTACCTTTTGCCTTGTGTTAGTTCTGTGGAGATTTTCTCAAAGCATCACGACTAGTGTTTGCTTTGCCTGCTTTTCGGCCATCTCCCAAATGAAAACACCTGTTATAGAATAGACCGAATCTCCAGGATTGTCAAACTCAAGCTTTGCCTCATGCCACTCAGTGCATGCGGATGATCTCACCTCACAACATCTCTTTGGCCACCATACCACACAACAGCACACGCGAGTAAATGAAGGCTTTAAATTTTGAACTGGTTGATCGCGAAAAAAGGGTTTTGTGTGCACAGAGCGTCGTGTACATGCAATGCGGCAACTGAACAACTGTTCCTTCTGTTCAGCGGTATCGAGACACTGGCTGCGTGCAGTTGTGCTGTTAGTTTGTGAGACGGCCTCAAAGTGTCAAAGATCAGAATCAACCCCTGTAATCTTGGGCAGGATGGACTCAACCCAGCTCGCAGAAGCTCGGAGATTGGTTGAACAGTCTCTTTGATGACTGTGGCACAGCTGGGAGAAGCATCGCTGAAGGTGAGAAGGCTGAAGCCGAGCAGGTAGCGACCAGCGACAGCAGAGCCGGGAGCGAGAGAGCTGGCGAAAGGAGCGAAAGCCATAGCGCTGGGAATGGAAGAGCTGACGCTGCAAGCAACGCCGAGAGCGAGACTGAGAGGGATGATGAAAGGGCAGAGAAATCTGAAGAATGGAGAAAACCTGATCCGAATGTTCCAGAACCAGGCCGGATGTGGGATTCTGGCAAGCTGAGCACTTGTAATTACTGATATTTACTGATATAAATTACTGATATATATATATATATACTGATATTATCTTACACATGGAGTTGTACATACATTTGTTTTTGGGACAAGCTTATTGGGGATCGCTCGATTCTTTGACTACATTGGGAGCCTTTTGGGTTTGATTGATGCTTTGCGGCCGCAACTTGCCACATCTTGATGTTCACTTCTTCTTGATTTCCCCAGGTAGCAGAGCCTTGATTGCATGTTTTTACCTGGAAACCTGAAAACTGTGGAGCCAGGTGTTGAACCTCCCTCCCCCAGAAACCGAGCAACCACATGACTACGCCATAGTGGACCTCACGAGTTCTGGTGTACGTTTTGTGGAGGTTTTTTCATGTCTTGTCCTTTTTTGTTTTGTTAGGACCTGCCCCCGCTGCGGATGAACTCTTGCACTCTCTTCAGACCGTGGTGCCCGTTAGTACCACTGGAAGCCGTGGCAGCCGTTCATCAAACGTGGCTTCTGTGGCTCGGCTGATGCGGTGATTTTCCGCGCGCGTGCGTGCGCGTCGCTATGCACACTGTGCGCGCTCTGCACGCGCAGGAAGTACCCACAGATCTGACATTGCGGTCCGTTGATGCCCAGCAGATAGCAGAGGCTGTGACCACTGATGTGCAACTTGCCTCGGATACTGTAAAGGTTTTGTGAGGGCCCCTCATCACAATGTTCCAGTCCGCTTTTGTATGTATATAGAATCGTAGATGTTCTTATTCTTTTAGCCCCTTTTACTTTGAAGTCAGCATGGATGATTCTCACTCCACGGGCCTTGTATCTGCAGAAGCTTTGAGAGCCGAGTCAGAAGGTTCCAAGGTTCCAAGATTCCATGTGAGCAAAGACCCAACCTAAGGGCGCTGCAGTCTATGAGCTGCTGTGGATCGACCAAGGCAGCACCTGTCAAGATTGCATGTTGCCACGTTGCGGCGATGATTGGAACATGTTATATATGTAGAAATGAGCCAGCAAGTAACAAGGGCATCGCTACTAGGAACAGGCGCATCGCTCTAGCAGCAAGAAGCTACAAGTAGCTCCTGACATTGCTACTAGTAACAAGAAGCGACTAGGGGCTCCTGGCATCGCTACTAACAGCAAGGATGCTAC